TTCCAATGTAACATCCCTACAATGGCCATGCAGTGCTTTGCAATAACTATTTTCAAGACTGACATTCAGTTTCTAGCTTTTATTGTGTTGTGATGTATGTTGTGTAACACCTAACAAAATATTGTCACCTTTTCTGAAATACTGATTGTAATATTAGAAATAATGTTTGATTATTTTTTGCAAGTAAGAGTTTTTAGTAAGTTGCCACTGGGCACTCAACGGTAGTTGGACAGCTTTGATGTCGTGAAAAAGATGTAACTTAGCATTATACAAAACCAGCTTAAAGAAAAACAGGAAGTGGGATTGTGCTCCATCATGATATCAGTCTAGTTTTATAAGCAATGAAGGAAAAAACAAGATTTTATGATTTTGCGATTACGAACGCCAAAAAGGTGTTCTTGGACAAGTAAGACAGTCCTCATTGCTCACCATGGAGCAAGTTTCAACTGTGCAGTCCTAGGAAGTGTGAATCTTGAGGTTTTTGTTTTCCTGCAAAGCTATTTATGGATATATGAAACTGTCATGACTTAGATGAATTATTACTTTTCATGTTCTAAAATGCTGTCTGCTGCAGTTTCATAGTTGTCATGGAAGATCCAAGGCAATTAATTATTTTCATTTTGAAAGTTATCCTATGTAAACATATTCTTTCTTTTCTGAGAATAGGAAACCCCATCCTTTGAGAGTATTAGCAATTCGTTTCCTTGTCTGTTTCACAGTTTGCCGCAACAGCTCAAAAGCAATGACCAGAACATATCACTAATGACACAATGAGAACTCCTTCTGGAAATGTTCAGGAGGTTCAAGAAAGATTTTGTGCTTTTGTGTGATTAATGATGCCAGATGGCCATGCATTTTAGTTTCATTTCTGCATCACCAATTGACATGCAGCATCAAATCTAATCTCAAAGATCCTCTGAAAAACTGTTGCTCAATTCAAACAGGTCAACAAATCTTAAAAGAAAGGGGATCCGATAGGCAGGTGTGCTAAGTAAAATAAAAAATACTTTATGTGAAATGCTTGTTATGTGATACTGAAACATGAAAGGTGATACGTAGTATCTGTATGGTGTTGTTGAAAGTAAATTTCAAGAATAAATACTACATAGCTTAATTAAATCTCCAGTGCTTTTGATAGTAAATTTAAGGATAAATCCTACATAACTCAAATAAATACCCTTATTTCCAAACAGAGTAAAAACAATGAGAAAGCAGATTCCAAGAAAATGATTTGTGGATCAATACCTTCCAAATACATGTTACAATGTTACAATGACAATGTTTTTCTAATGTGTTTTTAAAATTTAACAGATATATAAAATGCAAAGATTTTCAATATTATTGGGATATTAAGATTAAACTGGAATAATTCACTATGGATTATAATAATAAAAATAATAATAATGTCATTTGCCAAACCGCTTTATACCATACGGTGTCGTGGGAAGCTGGAGCCAACATGGCAAGCAACGATGGCAAGCAGGGTACACCCTGGAGAGGGCACTAGTCCATCGCAGGGTAAGTGCAAGCCAATCATACATGGGGACAATGTGGAGGCCACAGTAAAGGCCAAGGGGGAAATTTTGGCCCAGACACCAGGATAACTCCCTACTCTTATCAAGAAATGCCCGGGGATCTATAATGACCACTGAGAGTCAGGACCTCGGTTTAACATCTCATCCGAAAGACAGCGCCCACTACAATATAGTGTCCCAGCCACTATCCCGGGGCATTAGGACCCATGCAGACCGCAAGGTGGGTGCACCCCGCTGGCCCCACCTACACCACTTCCAGCAGGAACCATAGCTTCCCAGGGGGTCTCATATAGAGGTACTGCCCAGGCTCAACCCTGCTGAGCTTCAGTGGTTAACCAGTTGAGAGCTGCAGGGTGATATGGCTGCTGGCTTAATAATAATGTATAGTTGTATAATTATAAATGAGCTGTAAAGATCCTTTTGACTTGTCTTTCTTTGAAGTATTTGATATCAAAGACAGTTTAGATGCTGAAGGAATAAATTAATCAGTGCCATGCACAGAAATTGGGTGTGCCTAAATCAACAATTGGGAATATACAGAAGAAAGAAACCACGTATACTGTATCATTATCAAACAACCATGACAGGTTTGGCCAAAAATATCTGCAGTTGATGACCCTCAAACCCTAAATCACACCAACAATCTCCAGAGTGCAGGTTTGGAACTATTAAAATTCTCAGAAGAGACCAAGACAGCTGGATTACAAAGGCTACACCACAAGATGTAAACCCGTCTTCAGTACCAAGAACAGAAAAACCAGAATAGATTTTTCTCAGAAATACAAAAAAGGGGGCGGCATGTTTTGGTTCAAAGTTTCATGTGCAGAGCAGATCAAGATTTTTTTTTAATCAAATTGATAGAATGTTTAGAATACGGACAAAGAAAGAAACTGCAGATGTTGAAGAAAAACTTTAGATCAGAAAGAATGGGATGAACTAAACGTAGCTGCAGAATAGGCTTGGTGACGCATCTTAAAAAAGGGTTTGGTGAGATCAGTTTGTCACAGGTGTCACGCCATTGTTGTCTCAAAGGGACATACAACCAACTACTGACTTTTAGACATTTCCTTGAAGTGACCATACTTATTGTTCACTTGAAATCACTGGATTGAACATAGTCTGTTTTGTTTAAATACAGTATGATCAAATTGCATGGTATTGCCCATTAATAAAACGTGCATTATGTAGTACTTTGCATTCATATTAATCTCATGCTCACATATTACTTGACTCTTATGCAAAAGAAGTTTCAGAGGGCTACTCTACCTACAGTATGGGTCTCATACCTTCAATGGCGAAGAATTATCCCGTACCCGAGCAACACAGTGGTGCAGTGGTTAACATTGCTGCCTCACAGTAGTTGGTCCCTTGATTCAGTTTTGGACCAGGGATGCTATCTGCATGGAGTTTCTTCTCCCAGTGTTGGAGTAGGTTTCCTCTAGGTGCTCTGGTTTCTTCTTACATTCCAAAGACATACTGGTAGGTTAATTGGCTTCTGGGAAGATTTGAAAATTGGTCCTGGTGTGCGTGCCCTATGATGGACTGGCGTCCTGTCCTAGGTGTATCCCAACTTGTGCCTGTTACTTGCCAGGCTAGGCATCAGCTCCCCCATGAGCCTGTATTGGAATAAAGTGGTTAGAAAATTGATGGATATCCAGTACCAGAATTACAATAGCATTAGGGCTGAATTTCTTACACAAGGTTTTATTGTGGCACGATGATGCCAGAAAAAATATAAAGGAAACAAATACCAAAATTAGTTAGGAATCTGACAACTATTTAAAAGATAAGATAAGATCACTTTATTAGCAATATACAATTTTTTGCATTAGGAATTTGTCTTTTCGCATACCCCAGCATGAAAAACCATGAAACACAAAGGCACACAGACAGGGAGAGAAGCTTGGGGTCAGAGCACAGGGTCAGCCATTTATACGGCGCCCCTGGAGCAAATTGGGGTTAAGGGCCTTGCTCAGGGGCCCAACAGAGTAGGATTCCTCTGCTGGCCGGGGGATTTGAATCAGCAACCTTCCAGCCACAGGCGCAGATCTTTAGCCACAGAAAGCCTCTCAAAAGTGCAAATGAGAAATTGAATTGACACTAGTGCTAGTCCTGCCTGTTGGTTTTCTGGTACTAAAACAAGCAGTGAGTCAGTGAGAGTGCTGCTTTGCACAATAGCTCTGAAGAAATATATTTGCAACAGAACAACAGCAACCGTAAAGATATCTGCTGAACTGCGTACAGTATGTCATCCTCCATTCCATGGACGATGCTATCCAAAAGCTGGTATTGTGACTGCAGAATCCCAGCATACATACAGTACAGATGAACATTAGGGATGTTGTCTGTGAGATTTATGGATTCAGTACTCTGTACAAAGTAAAAGACAGACCATAAAAAGAAGCTCATGATCTTTGTTCTGAGATTGGGATGGTGAAAGGGCAAAAAGATAGCTACAATTAGGGCTCTCTTTAAGTTTTTTATTGAGGAACAGCTCTTAGGCTTTTACAGACTGAAGAGGGACATTATGGTGTCCTGATACTGACTGACAGGAAGGGGTTCTTGAGTATTGCTGTCAGGAATATGCAATGCCAAGGGGAGTTTCAGACATGTAGGGACTATTTCTTCATAGTACATAGTACACATCTGCTTTATAAATATGCCTTCTGTTGTATTTTGATTATATCAGCAGGTGAGTATATACTATGTAAAACACAACACTATTTTTTCATTTTTTTTCAACTTCCACATTGCACTGGTATTGGGGTTGGCTATGTGTATCCTTGTGTTGTTATTCATAGGCTAAGCTTTGGTGCATGATGTAGATTACATTAATTCTCAAATGCAGAAGACCTTTGAAAAACCTTAAACTGGTCTAATGATGATCTGAACTACGCAGTACAGAGTGCAGGTGGATTGAAAACATAAAGACACCTTGGCCCTCCAGGATGATAGTGGTTTATCAATAATGTACAGTAACTCCTAGCAGGAAAGACTGGCCTTAACACGCTGAGTCTAATCTGATAAGAGTTAGTGATATGCAAAAGACTGAAGGTGGTAATTGTATTACCATAGTAGAGATATTTTTACTGGATATTTGATTTAATATAAGTTCTGTTTAATGTAAACGTGCAATATTATATATTATTATTTAAAATACCATTGATTGATTGATTGATTGGTTGAAACTTTGCTACCATTTTTGTCTTTCTAACACAGGTCATGTGTGACGATGGTTAAGTTGTTGTACAAATTAACTGATGCAAACCAAATACTACTACTATAATGCCATGTTTCTAAGTTTCTAATATAAAGTAATTTATCAGGACGTATGAGTTTTAGACCAATGCCTGGCTCATTTGGAACATTAATTTCAATTATTACTGTCATATCTCATGGGCTGTATATCCTGGTAAAACTCAAAAATAGGACAGATTTCTGACTAAAAATAGATGCACTCTTGTCTTTAATGCAAAGCAGATGAATTTATTGAGAAAAAAGGGATTCTACATTTTTCTAAAAGAAAGCTGAGAGAAAAGAGTAATGGAGCTCCATCAGATATTCCCAATGATCCATCCCAGCAGCACAGTGCTTTTGTTTGCTTTTCTTAGCTGATGATTGAAGACTCAGTCTCTTCTAAGAAAAGAAAAAAGTAAAGAGGTCTTAAGCAGCATGATCTCATAGACACAATTCTGACATTTATCTAGGTTTAGTATCATTTAATCTTTTTGAAAAACAAAATCTTACTGAATTATCTTTATTACTATATCTCCAGTATTTTTTTATTACAATTTTTTATGCACACCTAAGAAATGCAGGAATGATTTATGGTTTTCATTCTACTTCAGCTAACTAAAAGAAAACTCATGGATGCCCCCCAGTCCTAGTGCAGCTATTTTAGTAGCTTTACAATAGCCTATCACAAGAACAATTTTTTTTATGTTTAAAGCTCATAAAACCGAGGTCCTGACTCTCTGTGGTCATAAATAATATCGAGGGCATTTCTTAAAAAGAGTAGGGGTGTTACCCCAGCATCCTGGCCAAATTTCTTCCTGGTTTTTAATAATCATGGCCTCCTAATAATCCCATCCATGAATTGGCTGCGTGGCTCTGTTCTCCTCTCCACTGATAGCTGGTGTGTGGTGAGCGTTCTGGCGCACTATAGTTGCCGTCACATCACCCAGATTGGTGCTACACATTGGCGGTGGTGGAGGGGAGTCCCCATTACCCGTAAAGTGTTATTGAAGTGTAAGGAAGTATTACATAAGGGTTTAAAAATGTTTGTGAAATTTCACAGTACCTGTTCTCAGTTCTTTCTTCTGGATTCCACCATCAATTACTACAGGAAGAATAGGAGCATGATAATAAACTGTTCATTTAAATTTATTTTCTAAATATGTTAGTCATGGCAAACAAGTTATACAGTGAAAAACAAACATTTTGAAACATTTGTGTGTACTTATGTTCCACAATAAATCGTTTCAAATACAGTTTTAAGGCACTCTCCTTTCCATTGAATTAAACGCCTACAGTACTTGCACACAGGCAGGTTTTCACCCAGAAATGATTGTTAAGAAGTTATAATCACAGCTGTCACACAACTCAGCACAGTCCAGAGCTGTGAAAAAAAAAGAGGATCTTATGCTCTATGGACAAGACCGTAATGGAAAAGGCATTCATTGCTTTGTTTAACCCTGTAAGTGATGGCAAAACTGTAAAACCTGACAGGATGTAGTGAGTACAGCAATGAATGATGTAATGTACCAGAACAGCATAATTCAACTTCATAGTTACTTTGTATATTCCTTTACTAACAATGCCCAACCTGTAACACATACTGTACGTACTGTATGGTATTGAAATGAGGCATTCAAACACCGAAGATCATATTAAACTCACACACAAAGTTTGCAGACTTTACCAACACAGGATGCTACTTCATTCTTTGCAAAGGAAAACATTCATACTGATTATAGTTTGGACATGGGCTATATTGCTCTCTCATGCATTTTTGTAGACATTTTGTCCAACTTAACATACTACACAGCTCTGCAAGCTTCCTTCAAAGGGAATAAATCCCTCCAGTGTGGTGTGTAATAGTTTGGAAGGTAAAATCTATTTGTATGAAAACTGTAGTCTTTAACCCAGTAGATCTCATTTAAAACTACTTCTGCTGGATAACTTTTTAATTCAAATAGCTCTTTGCTAATGGATCACAAGTCAGGAAGGGAATTCAAACTCTGGAGAACTTATGAGGAACATACTGGAAATGGTTCCTTAGTCTAACTACAGTCAGCAATAATCAAAACTGCTCATTAGAAACTGTTACATACAAGTAGTATATAAAAATAGACCATGTGCTGTTAATGTTTTAACAAAGAATTAAATCAGGTTCACTTTACTTAAACTTCTTCCCACAATGTTTTGGTAGCATTTCTCAATAATATTTAGATCCTTTAGACTGAACATTCTGCCCTGTTGTCTGACGATACAAATGTCCCTCATTGAAGAACTGTGATGATCAGTCCTTCTTTTGTTTATCCGTACTAATGCAGTCCTAAATTTGCGGAAACTCTTAGATTTCTATTTATACCAAAGAGTTCAGGCATTTTCCAAAGAATGTGAAATTATGATTTTCTTCCACAACTGAACAGTAAGGGAAAGTAAAATAGACCCTTCTTTTTTTAAAAAGGGCATAAAATGGAGTTGTGATCGCCCAGAGTTGGTGACAAATGCAGGGCCTGTATAAAAAGTGGAGATGACTAATGCTTGCTAACCTAACCAACAATATTGTGTTACTGCTGACTTGCCTGCTGCAGCTTTTACATACTGTAGCTTTTTCTTGATGTTTGGGGAGTGCTGCAGTGGTGTGGGACGTCCCACCCTATGAGAGGGAAAAGCTGTCGTGAGTGACACCCCTCTGAAGGAGTGTTCATCACCAGACCTTGCCCAGGATCTAATGAGAGTCTAAGAAGAGGTCCATTCTCAGTGGGGGGTGAAGAATGGAACCTGACTGATTTTGAAAACCAGCACAAAAAAAAATCAACTTAGATCTGGGTTCTTGAAATTAGAAACAGATATTTATCAGCTTTGTTCCCGGTATAGCAGAGCAAGTCACTGCTGAGGAGACAAGTCGTGAGAATGTTAGATAAGGTTTTTGATGCATCATACAAAATGGTAGATTTCGTTGCAAATAACATGACTCATGTTTTCACAGGTCGTGGCATAAAAAAGCAAGCCTCACATAGTTAACCTAATAAACATTATGTTAAAACCGCAGTCATGTGCAAAAAAAGTACAGGTATGTCACATCACATCTCTTTCAATAACCATTTATCAAATTCAGGATCACGGTAGCCCACGAAGCATTGGACACAAGTATATGTCAACAGGATATGTCATCGATATGATGCCAAACCATCACAGGCCATACACACTCACACCAGGGCTAATTTAACAGATGCCAGTTAACCTACTAGCATGTCTTTAGACTGTGGCAGGAAACCTGAACAGCCAGAGGAAAACCACACAAATCCAGGTGGAACATGCAAACTCTACACAGATAGCTAGTACCCAGGGATTCAACCCTGAGGTCCAGCATTGCAAGGCAGGAATGCTAACCACTGTGCCACCCACCTACTGTGAAGCATGTAATCATACTACTACAAAAATGATGTACTTCATTGATTGTATTTCATGAATAAAATATATGATGTTTCACTGATGATGTTTCAGATCATTTTAGTAGAGATTAGTTGAGGACATTCCATCTTGCTAAACTGCAAGAGATACAGAAACATGATTTATTTTTATATCAGTAGGCTGAAAGCTGACTATCATCTTATAAAAGAGCGGCCCTTGTTTGGTTATATTAGTTTCACATGTATTATTGTTCTTGTTTCTCAGATTCTGAGGATACATCACTGAAAAGTGTCCCCAGTGTCTCATCTCTTTGTTATATGATTTATATGATTTGGGAATCACAAATATGTATTTGTACCCAGTTGCCTTAACTGATCAATAGTATATAGTTCCGTGTTTTATGTATTATTTTTTCATTGAAACAGATTGACAAATAGCAAGCTTTTCTAAATTATGCTTTTTTTATCAATGTCTTTTTCCTGTTTGTTAAAATAACAAAAACCATTTAAGCTGAATAAGTGTAAGATGGGACACTTGACTATCTTTTATCTGTAGTCTAAATTCTGGAGGATAAAGCACATCCACAGAGGACACAACTGTTCCTTACAGTGTAGTTCTTTCTGTAAGCTGCTTACCTGTAAAACTGTAAGATTCTGAGAAAGACCCACTGTCTGATATCCTGAAAAATAAATTATGAAACATTTACATGGTTAAACCGGTAAATAATTTTGGTCTAACTCAGCTAAAAGGTAAAAGTAAAAGAGCTAAGTTATTTTTAAGGAACTTGGAATGCTCTTCAAAACTGTAAAATAGAACTTTAAAGTTAAAATAACCATGACATACAGTACCTGTATATACAATTACTGTACGAATTTCATATTACATGTAACTCATTAAGAGGTTATTTCCATTCTTTTATCCCATCTCTCAAACACACTCTCTCTTTATATACAGCACATATAAAACAATATACATACAACATACAGTATTCAATTTACACTGTATATACAGTACTCTTCTCTATTCGGAAATGTGTTTGAAAGACTCACTTGAAGTCATCCCCTTCGAGAAGCTTCTTGTAGGTGGCTATCTCCACATCGAGAGCAAGTTTCACATCCAGCAGCTCCTGGTATGCGAGAATCTGCTTGTGAAGATCTGCTTTGGCCACCTCGATGGATGATTCCAGACTGGCGATTTGAGCTTGGTATTCGGCCACCCCCACACTGGACTGAGCCTGTGCTTCTGCCAGACTCTGTTCAAGAGCTAAATTCTGGGAGAGCAAAATGAGTTTTTACTACAGGCAGTACAGGTAGTAGATGAAAAAGTCACCAGCACACATTTATATAGGTCTTTCAAAAAGAAATGTGGTAATACTTTTAAGAAAGCTTTCCTTTAATGCGGTCTGTGTGGGTCCTAATGCCCCAGTATAGTGACGGGGTCACTATAATGAAAACAGGTGCCGTCCTTTGGATGAGACGTAAAACCGAGGTCCTGACTCTCTGCGGTCATTAAAAATCCCAGGGCGCTTCTCAAAAAGAGTAGGGGTGTAACCCCGGCATCCTGGCCAAATTTCCCATTGGCCCTTACCAATCATGGCCACCTAATGATCCCCCTCTGTGAATTGGCTACATTACTCTGCTCTCCTCCCCACTAATAGCTGATGTGTGGTGAGCGTTCTGGCGCACTATGGCTGCCGTTGCATCATCCAGGTGGATGCTGCACATTGGTGGTGGTGGAGGGGATCCCCATTACCTGTAAAGCGCTTTGAGTGGAGTGTCCAGAAAAGCGCTATATAAGTGTAAGCAATTATTATTATTATTATTATTATTATTATTATTATTATTATTATTATACTACTGTATATACAGTACATCAGTGTTTCTTAGCCTTTACCGCAGCCAGTACCCCTTTGGTTCTCAAAATATGTTCAAAACCTGTCAGAGAAGGTCAGTCCCTGATATTTCAATATACAGTATCATAACTAAAGAATAATAGCGAATTACTTAGTTTATTTTTGCAGTAAAATTAAGAATACATAAATACCTAGGTCTAATGAAACAAAGTAGTTATACAGTACCTATTGTATGTGATGGTGCTTAAAATGTGTTTTAGATGGTTTACCTTAAAAAAAACTGGAATTTCTCACACTCCCATAAAGGAAATCTCACTCCCATGGGGATATACATAGTCTTTAAATACTATTAGTGTCCATAGCATTACCTTTATCATAAATACTGTACATTTAAAAACCATTTAAGTGGTTTGTAAAACCATTTATTGTGCTACTTAACAGTCTGGGGTTCAATTGCAATTCATTTTCAGATGCTCTGAAAGCGTAAACAAATGCTGAGTGCCGAGATTAAATAATTACAAATTTTCTGCTGACGGGTTTCTAGTAATCATAAGTAGCAGGGAAGTCTGACTTCGGTCTAAATCAAGAGAGACCACATTCTTTATACTGTAGCTGCACAAGCGCTTCCTGTAAACTGTGATTTCTTTTTCGTCAAAGTCTTTTCACTTTGGGTCGTATCCCTTTGATTGCAAGAACCAGTGATGCGCTAAGGAAAGAAGTACCCATCATTACAACATCCCCTGGGCTTTCCAAAATCATTCGTCTTTCATTGGAACTAAACCCTGAAGATATGTCTGAATTTCTAGTGAAATACCATTTTTTTCTGCAATTTCTTTTTATTAAAATGTTAAATAGGTTGTCTGTTGTGTGTAAGTCTGTGGCCTTTTCTGTTTAGATTGCTGTTTCTTGCACCAATATGTTAAAATAATTTATGAAAAGTCTTTTAAGTCATTACTGGCAGGGGAAAACAAATTAGAGAGGTGCCAAATACTCATATCAGAAGCATGATGGCTCACTATTGACTATTCAATATCATACAGTACACACTACATGTAGATGTACCCACTTCATATACTCCTGCTAATGTTCCTCATGTCCCTTTTTAAGCTAAATTGTCAGAATTTTGGACTGCAATGTTTTTCACAGAATCAGACAGCCCAAGTGTGATTTAAAAAGGGTAATAAATGTCAAGTAAAGTAAACTGGCTTTTGAAAAATGCTTATTAAACACCCATCTTTCCTGAAATTGTAAAAGGGGGGGGGATTTAGTTTTTACTTTACAGTGAATTGCATCTAAAACAATGGCAAGTCTCACTCCGCACCTGAATAATGCAGGGAACTAGCAGCTAAGTGAAGTGTTCTTTAAGAGCAGCAATAATTGTGGTCTGATAAGACACTTTACCTGTAATCTAGAAGTGGTTTGATGACTTCAAAAATAAGGCTCTTCAAAAGGCATGGCAGTACATTATTAAGGGAAAACATAAAGTTAATGGTGGGTTCATGTATTTTTTTCTTTTCAACTACTAAACATCAACTAAATCTTGTTTTTGTTTTGATGCTCTTGGTGGTTTCACTTCATGTTATGTACCTAGAGTACATGCGCAAAGACCACTTCAAAGAGATTTGTTTTTTTTTTAAGATAAGGTGTTAGGTGATACCGAACCTCAGAATTGGGTTCATGTAGAAATTTGATTTGAGGTGTCCTAATTTCAGGTAAAAGCCACTGCAAATAAACAGAAGACCTGCCACTTCTATTTTTAAAGTTTTGTATGGGGATCTGTATAAGCATACAGGCTGCAAAGAAACAAGCAGGGGTTAATTCCATGCTGAAAAGCGGGAAGAAAAAAAACAATGTTACCTCACACCTAAAGAGGACTCAGCCATCAAAATATTTTTTTCTTATTTATAGCATGTAATTAATCACTACAGTACACATTCATTTTATTTTTTGGTCCTTGACTTGATTACATCTTTTTTCCCTGCTTCCAAAGTGATTTAGGTTTTGTTTTTGTGAAATCAAAGAGGACTTTCCAAACAGCTCTTCTAAAATTCCCTTGCACCAAAAAGAAAATATTCCCTATCCTTTGACGTAAAGGCAAGTACTGTACGTACATAGTCCCTGCATTGTTCTAGGGGGATTCCACTTTAATATTACTGCATGTATTTTATAAAACATGTGATGAGAATTCAGACAAGATAAGGAAAAGTTCTGCAGAGGCTCTCAACAAGCAGTTTTTTCTTGCAGGTTTCCTTGCAATACTGTTATATCCAGCTCCTGAATTGTTTTTTATCTTGTAGCTGCATCGTATCGATTCATTAACTTTATTTTGAGGAAGTCAGCACGGAGCCTCTTAACGCTTTTTATATTTAGATCGCCTCTTTGTGTAATATCACATTCAACAAGAAAAAACCTTTGCTGCGTTCTGTTTCACTGTTCAGCACAAACCATATTGGTGTATCATTGGTATATTCTTTGCAGATGATTGTAAGAAACATTTGATCTGTGTAAAAAACAAATGTGTTTTTACATTATGGTTTGAGAGCATATCTCTGAAGTTATATTTTCATGGGATATTTCCACTTTTTTCACATTTGCTTTCATAAGGCTTCTCCCAAGCTTGACGAAGTTTGCTTGTCTAAAAGCACATGGCCTGGAAGGAATTATTTCATAAAAGGTCAGGAAAATACGTAATAAGATAGCAAAGGTTTCAACAATAGATGCTATACTTAAGCTGAACACTAAACTAAACATGAGGCTTTTTTAGCAAAAGTACTGATGTGGAGGAAATCAGTCATATCTCTGTGGGATAATCTAAACAGGGGGGGAGGTTCGCTCTTCCACAGTCCTGCTGACTAGTACTGAACCCATACCACGGACACATTTATGCAACGGGGAAGTTTGTTGTTACCGTATAGGAAAAACCTGTAAGAAAAGTTTGCACTTACTGTAGAGATAAGACCCTGTAATTCTAGGTTCAATGCCTGCAATTCTTTGCGTGATGCTGTGATTTCAACCTTGACTGTGGAAATGGCCTCCGTGTTCTTGACGGTAACGGTCTGAATCTCATCCATCTGCATAAAATAAAGGAATAATAACGTCAGCTTCTATGTCAGTGCTGGAGACAACAATGACCATGAGGACTTCCAGCTTCATTGGCCCCAAGAATTCAGCACCTTCAGCAAGATGCAAGAGCCAGGCTAATTTTCCGTATGGGCCCTGTTATGTTTACAATATCCTTGAGAAGATTTGTGAGTTTTAAGAAATATCTTTTAAATATTTTAATGTTTGAACATGAAAATAGTTTGTATAATTTGTATCTCATCTTTAAAGCAGTATGCTTGTGGTAAGGGAACTGTCAGACCGCACTCCATCCAGAGAGAGCGTGTTCTTCACCAGATAGGCATTGCACCTCTAAATCATGTTCATTAGCAGTTTCATTCACCTTTGTGGTCTTGCTAGACCATCTGTGAGGCCATGGAGAAAAGCCTTCGGCTTTGGCGATTTTTTTACTACCGCATTTCTAGTTCTGGCTAAATAAAACATAATGAAGCTACTGACACTAATGGCAAACATGAAAAAATTTGGTTTTAAATAACTGCCTGCTGTACAACTGTGTCTTCCAATTTCAACAGCATTGTAGCACTTATTTCTCATTTGGAATTTGGTATCAACTTATATAATGGTACCATTAAACCTTGAAAAGTTTTAAAAAGTAATTGTGTTTCAAAAACAAAACTCTTGAATCTAATGCCCCCTAGTGTGCCATATTAGTAGTGTCACCGTACATAAAGAACACATAGAAGCATTTTCCCCAAATATTCTATTTACTAAAAAATGAAAGATATAGTATGAATAGTATTATAATAATAGTAATAGTATAAGCCATTAACAAACATGAAAGAAAAGTAAAGAAAAACACCAGCATGATGGTGACGTTAACCCTGATACCTTCTTCACAACTGACATGATCTTTAATTCCCCTATTTTTATAGAGATAAAATGATTTTTATCTGAATCTCGCACTAAAAATACTTCTGTCATCTAGCTGTGGTGTGGTGCACTGTTACAAAACAACTGCCTTTCATCCCACAGGCAGCTGCAGTTCAGTGAATGACTGTTGATTCAACCGAGTCTCTGTGGTGATGACTGTTGGTTTAGCTGGGCCTCTGGTGAGGTGTTTCGAGATCTTTGTTTGTCATTACAGGTCCAGTATTAGTAGATGTTAAGCCCCACTCCTCACTTACCTTGAGTTTATAGTAGGCCTCAGCTTCCTCTCTGTGCTGCTGGACTGACTTTTCATATTCAGCTCGCATCTTGTTGAGCGCGGAAGAAATGTCGAAGGACTTGACTGTGTCAACCTCGATCATGGATACTGACGTGTCGGCGGTGGTGGTTCCCAGTTTAGCTTGCAAGCCAGCCAACTCCTGAAATAGGCCGAGTCCATGAGAACTGGTTACTCTGGGAATGTTTAAGCGGGGTGGCGATGATGAGGAAGGACAGTGGGCATGTGACAATGTCTTTCATATTCATTTAAAAACAAAGAGTAGAAATGGAATGAATTACATCTGAAAGAGTCATTCACAAGCAGCGTGTGTGGAGCTAGTAATAGAAACAGAAAATGTCCTGTTTGATTAAATCAATTTAAGCAAATCAGGCAAAAAACAGATTTGGCTTTTGATATACAGTATTCAGAAATAATGAAGCCTTCATAGCATGTGTAGGGCAGACATCCCGTCCTTGAAGGCCAAATATATGCCCAAACCTTAAAAAACGAGGTTAAAGTGTTTGATTGGTCTAGCTATTCATTTGATCAATAATGTACTTAATGAGCTCAGGTGGAAAGACAACCTGCAGACAGTGCAACATCTCTAGGACTGGGCTTGTGTACTACTGGCCCATATCCTTGTTTCCTACCAACAGAGCCTTTCCCCTTTTTGTGTTCCAATCCAGTGCTGACACACCTCTTTAGATATCTGAGGAGTTTTCAGTGTCAATTAAAAGACTAGGAAGCAGGGAAAAGACCAGCCATACATGTTAAATCTCCATAGCTCTACACACTAGCAGGCCTGAAGAAATTATTTTAACTTATTTAATTTAATTATTTAAGTTATTTTAACCCCAACTCTAAATTAAGACCAGGCTGGAGAGAATAAGTTTGGACAATTTCAACATGTTGCGCAATGCATGTTTTTCGGCATTTTTGAGTAAATGTTTTCCCCGAGAGTATGAATGCTCGGTGAGCGTGTGGCTGCGAGGGTGTGCTTTCACAGGATGCTTTAAATCCAGGACAACACCCCACCAACAACACCACCACCGAGCCACCTTGCTCTGTGCTTGTGCTTGTTTTCTACATGAAAATGTCTTGACAAAGAAACCCTGCTTTGGTTATGCTTACGTGTGCCAAAGCAGTCGACACCTCATCAGAACAACCTGGATATCAACATACAGTTTTGTTGTTTCTCAGATTTTACCTCTTCATGAGTTTTGCTGATAAAGTCAAGCTCATTATTAAGACTCTGGTACTTTGCATCCAGATCAATGCGAAGGTCAGAGGCAGTTTCTATGTCCTGGGAAGACAAGAAAAAGATATTATACTTTGGCTATCCATTTTTTCTTCTTCAAATTGCAAAGGCTTTGGGGGCCTAAAAAAACTCACTTGCAGAAAAATGATTAAGATTATTTCAACATGTACTGTATAATACAATTATATACATACTGTATATAGTAGGATTTATCTTCCCATCAGAATAGTTACTCAATTGATTTAATCTCTTTATTAGCAGATTAATAATGCATACAACATGCTTCAACTCTTAGAATGAAATATTTTTAGAACCCCCTCAAAAGGAAAAAGGAACCACAGGTGAAAGACTTCATGACAGATCAGTACGGCATTAGAAGGAGTATTTGCAACACATAATTTGAAATATCAGACCTAGTAATAAGGAGAACTGCAAACCACAATGCTAGTACAATGTACACAAGAACTTGTAAAATTTCCATTTTATGTCACAAAATAGACTTAATTTCAAGGTAGGCACAGAGCCCTACTTCATGTCACAGTATGCATGACCTCTCGCTCTCTCCCACGATGAGACCAGAGGTTTGCGACAAAAATAGTGACTATACAGTACTTTCACAAAGTTCATGTTTTTGTGCTTAAAAATGTTTCTATACCATCAAATAATTTATTTTGTTACTGAAATTTAATACTGGGTTTGTGAAATTGGGACTGCAGTTTCCTTTAAGTTTTGTATGTGGGAATGAGAGAAACTGAAACCATCTTTTGCCTTTTCAAACCTTACCCTTTTCATGGCTGCAATGTCTGCCTCCAGCTGAAACTTCACACCCTGTTCAAAGTCAAACCTACAATGGGAGACTTCTGTCATTTTTATGTGAAACAAACATATGAAAATCAAACTCTAAAACCTGTTTAAACTGCACTGTTCTGCATACTGACCTCATAAGAAGAACAAAACTACTGTACATTTTATAACATGCCTTTCATAAAAATCTAGCAAAGTTCTGTATAATAAAACAGAGGAAGAGAAACCCACACACAAAATTTAAAAAGACAACTGTGGAAAATACACTGTAAACATTAAAAGATAAACCATTGTAAAGAATTGGATTTTAAGAAGTGATTTAAAGACTGATAAGGACTCTGAATAATCTGCTTGTGAACACAATGAGTTCAGCCTCAGAGAGAGATCTTTCTCTTTTCTGTACCAAGAATACAACTCAACCTTTTCAAAGCAGGGCTTATATGTTCAAAAGAAAAGAGAAAGAAACAAGACACATGAGATGTTTTTTAACACCTTCAGTAATAATTAGAGTAACCATGTTTGTGCCAGATTCTCCACAGCAGGCTTGAACAGAGCGGTACTTAACTTAGTGATCCTCCATAGATGGAGAAAAAGAAATGTATTAGTGATGTTCATCAAGGCTGAAAATGCCAAGTGTGGTCAAAAATGATCTGAAATTTTGAGTCCTAAAACTCAGTTGAGTACTGTCAATACTATAATAGCATACATTTTATAAAAGCAATTTGTCAGCCGTAGTTAATAACATGAGAACCTAATAACATGACTCCAAACTTAGCAATATTTATTTGCAAAAAGTAGTGACTTAAAAAAAATAATATTAATACACAATAATAATGTAACAGAATACAGCTGTAACCACAAGATTTGGTTCATTTGATGACAAGAGGAAAAAGTTGTGAAAAGAAAAATAATATTTTTTTCGCGGCTATCTCGAGGACTGTACTAGAATCTCCTGTGGTTTTAACATGCTTTTGAAATTCTTTGTATTAACCAATAACCACATTTAGAACAGTTTTTCTTTTGGTTTGGTTTCTTAGTAAAGCCTACTATGCGGCAGCATTTTATTCTTATTATTTCTCAAGAACAAAATAAAAGCTATGTGGAAAATAGTTTTTGAGGGAGCTGGTTAACACAGCATTTGTATGGTATCTTTTCTTTTACTTTCCTTTCTCTTTTTAAAAATGTGAATTTCCCCCGTAATTCATTCCTTTCTGCATAAAAGAGATCAAACTCAAATCAAAAGTGTCTGCAAAATCAGGCCATCTTCAAAATATACTGCTTCTCACCTGCAGTTTCTGATTTTCTGATTTAACACGATTAGATACTAGTACTATTGACTCTACCTTACCATGGTAAACCATACAGGTTGAAACACATACTTAGCTTTCATCTCGTGAGCCGTTCCTCTGATGTTGTCCAGCTCGATCTCCAACTTGATGGTCTCCAGGGTGAGGTTCTCCAAGGTGGTGCGGTAGTCTTTCAGCTGAGCCTCGTGGTCAGCGGTGGAGCTGCTGTCTGGTTCAATGACAGCCCCGCCAGTGAACTGGCTGAGCTGGGCCTCCAGAGAGGCATTCTCCTGCTGCAGCACGCGCACTTTGCCCATGTACTGGGAGAAGCGGTCATTCAGGGAGGACAGGGTGTGCTTCTCTGCAGCCCTAGAGAGTAACTGCGGGGTGACGGGGCCCAGGGACGGCCCGGCAGCCAGCGCCGAGCCAGTGCTCAGACCCGCCGCAGCGATGGTGCGGCCCATTGCGAACGCGGGGCTGGCCGCAAAGCCGCCGCCGCCGCCGCCGGAGGCAAAGGCAAGACCTGGGGCTCCAAATCCCAGCCCCCCGCCGTACCCCAGACCTCCGCCCCCCAGCGAAAGGCCACCGCCATACCCCAGACCTGCGCCCCCCAGCGAAAGGCCACCGCCAATCCCCAGTCCAGCTGCTCCCAGCCCAACGCCGCCCAATCCCAGCCCAGCGGCACCTGCTCCCAGGCTAACTGCACCTCCTCGCAAGCCCCCCAACCCTCCGCCAAGGCTAAGACGGGACATGCCGGAGGAGATACCCAGCCCACCCAAACTGCCCACCCCAAGGCTGGAGGACACCCCTCCTCTGGCCCCCGAACTCCTAGTGGAGGATTTGAAAGACACTCTGGTAGTAGATGACATTGTGAGGCTTGCAGGTCAGTTTGATCTACACTAGCACAGGCAGCAGTGAGCTACTGGGAGCATGAGCAAGCGGATCTCACTCTGCTTCCCTTTTAAAGGGTCGCTGGTGAGGTGGGACACGGTCTGGGCATGTTGGCTGGCTCTTTTCCAGACCTGGTTAGGAAAATCTATCCCTCCCAAGTTTGGATTCCCCACCTTAGCGTCTGTCCTAGGGCTATCCTTATGAGCTTGTCTGAAAAATGTGTCTGTCAAAGGCCGAAGAGTTTTATTAGCTTTGGGTGGATATTTGAGTTTGTTATATAAGATTTCTCTACTACAGAATTAACCCTGTTGTCTTGTCTCTGAGGTTCAGTACAGCAAGTGTGTACTGTACATAGTTAAAAATAAGGCAAAGTATTGCCACCCTTCCTTCCAAACTCAATTATGCAGTACAGACAACTGTACTGAAAGAAATGATCATTTCAATTTCTCAAACTAAGTTCACGGTAATATCTCAAAATGGCTCTGGGTTCAATTCCTGGGGTGCTATCTCTAGGAGTGTGTATCTTCTCCCCATATTCACATGGGTTTCCCTCCAGGTGCTCGGGTTTCCACTCACAGGCTAAAGACATACTGGGAGGTTAATTGGCTTCTGGGAAAATCCTGGTGGTGATGGACTGGTGTCCTGTCCAGGGAGTATCCTGCCTTGCTGTCATTGCTTGCTGGGATAGGCTCCCCTGTGACCCTGTATTGGATAAAGCAGTTCGAAAATGGATGGATGATACATAAAGGGAGGCGACAGGTGTGGAGACCATGTATATGCGATACATACAGGATTGCACTCAGTGTGTCTTGATTGTTTTTCTGAGAAATAAGCAAGATACCCACGTTTTGCAAATGTTTTCTGTACATTAGTAGAAATTTAATACACCAATGTATATGCATTTCCAGCAACAGTACTGCATGTTCCCTGTGATAATAAATTAAATATACAGTATACAGTGCCTTGCGAAAGTATTCGGCCCCCTTGAACTTTTCAACCTTTTGCCACATTTCAGGCTTCAAACATAAAGATATA